GGAGAGAAATACGTGCGATACCACGCGGATTTTCCAGCCTCTCCATCCCGTCGATACCGGTAAGTAAATCCTTCGGACAACTCCGAGCCAAGCGATATTGCGAAATTATAACGCGACGGACGTAAAAATCGATGTAAACGAAGCAGACGTTACTCTTCTAATAGTAACACGGAAGTGGAGCAGTGCCGGCCGCTGCCGACATATTGATTCGACCCGGTGCAAATCCGCCCTGTGCACGTTTCGTTTTTCGTAGATAAGAGACTAACGGTGATGTAAAAGACTCGATAGACTATATTCGTCGCGTATAAAAGATTTCCAAGTCGAGTGTATCGTTAGAACAGATTCGACCGATCGCGTAGAATACGAGTAGGCGAGGACCGGGCACTTGGCGAGAAGTGCGCCGCTAGTTCGTTGCCGCGGCCATTACGCTGAGCGGTCGAGGGCGAGCATCTCGCGACGTAATCGCATCCGCTTAATTCGCGTTACTTATCTCGCTGTTCGTCGTGACTTATCTTCCTGTTCGTTGCTGGAGTTTGCGTAAACCTATTGGAAAAGAGGTAAGTGTCTAGAAACCGGTATTGAGATAGCACCGGCAGTTTCGTCTTCGCTTAACCTCTTTACCCTTAATGTTCAGTTGCATCATACGAGCGCGAGTTGCGTGCGAACGTTGTAAAACGTGTTTACGGTTCAACGATCTCCGAAACTGGAGAAAACGCGCAGCATGGCACTTTCGTCGATTCGAGATGGTGCATCGTTCGAGATATTGGATAGGCGATGTCCGTGTCGCGAGCCTGAAATTGCGGATCGCGAAATGGCTGCTTCGCTCGGTCGCTCTGACTATTATTAGAAGAGGCCGGTGTATGCGAATCGTTGCACGCTATCGAACGTGTGCGCTACGTTAACGCGATTTCCATGGGATCTTTTAATCGTTCGAACATCGTATCATCCGCGAGTCGCAATTTTTGAAGGAAAAATGCACGAAAGGAAGGTTCGTAATAAGGGAATGGGGTTTAATCGTGATTCTTTGGAATAATATCGATCGTAAGCGAGGTCTGGGTGGCCGGAGAGACATTTTCGTGGGGTGAAAATTAAAGCACGACAATGCTGATCGCCGTGGTGTGTCTGTCTCTCTTTTTTTCTCGTAGGGCTCGACCGAATAAGCGCGCATACTCGCACCGATGGTATTTTCGATGTGGCCCGCATGGGGCCCTTTCGTCGAATCAATACCCTTCGCGGTTCGTCAGCTAGCCTCCGTTGACACGTAAATATTAATTGTTCTCTCGATAGTCGACAACGTGCAACGAACCCTGTCCACCGAGCAATTACGATCGGGCCATTTGGCGCGCGATATAAGTTCGAAACGTTGATAATCCGCGAGAAATCGTCCTGTAATCCGATCGAATGTAATAAGTAATTACCCCGACCGCCCATCGTGATTCAGTACTTACCCCGAGTAAAAAAGTGTTACGATCGATCAGCCAGTGAAACTCAACGCATTCTGTTGATAATCAATCGTGTTCTCGTCTTATTCTCGTCCGAGATTACTTCGTTCGCGATAGTTATGGGGAAAGAATGTCGCGATCCACGGGGTTCGTGAGTTTGCGAAGTATTCTCGATTAGAACGACGTGATTATAACGCAGGGGGTGTGTTCTTAAGGGGTAGCTGGTCGTTTCGCGAGTTCTTGTAAACTTTTACGTAATAAGACGACAAACAAGGGTAAGATGGAGTTGACGAGACAATTTTCCTGTAGGTGTTTTTAATAAGAAACGAAGCGCTACATAGACTATCTTAAAGAGGAGTAGCGACTTTCTCGAAGTGAATATTGCAATATGCAAACTCGTTAAACTGGTCGATTTAATGAACAAAATTTTAAACGTAAAATTTCGCATTTTCTTTGTCTTTTAGTTCATATTCCTTTTAGGTGTGATTTATTCTCAAACGGGTTCGATTTGTTGCACTCTCGTTATTGCTTACAAACTTGAGAGAAATTCGATACATCCTACGGACGTAATAATCGTAGGAAGCGGCATGATTCGTCGAATCCGAGCAATCGATACAGCTCCACTCGTCAATGTGTGAACCATACACCGAAACGTGTCGGGAAACGTTTGTTATGTAACGATATGATATTTGAGCACCTCTCGTGATTAAGACAAACGACGTGTGGTTCGAAGAAGAAAAAGAAATTTTATTAAATTTACAAATAGAAGGAAAATAGGAAAATCGCGATAGAAAAAGTTGCGTCGTTTGAACAACGCGTCTTAAAGAAGGAATACAGTATACAAAATAATTAAAAAATTCTATCTAGCAAAAGACATTATTATTTTTCCAATAAAATTTTCACAGATCTAAATACGTTTCTTTCGTTTGTTCAATTTAATTTCTTTAATTTTCTCTAGATAATATTTCTTAACCGTGTTAGACGATTTTACACGAAAGATTAGCCCTAAAGAATAATAAAAAACGTAACAAAGAAATATAATCTTTCCAAATTCCCACGACATTAAATATGAAACAGAAACGGACACGACTGTCACGCAAAGTCTGTTAACGAACCAATAAAACTGCCATCGACTATGGGATATCTGGCGTGCCAGTGGTATAAGTACGCGTATGATCAGTCAGCGACGAACGATTCAAATCTCATCACGAGCTAACGTTTCGTCGTATTCCCATCCGACAACGAACAACATTCCGTGGTGTATCGAATTCCGGTCAATTGTTAAGGACCTGTACGATCAATTATGCGTAAATGAATAAGGACACACTGTGCGTACACGAGACAAATAAATTCGATGAATTCGACGATTGCTCTTCTCCTTTGAAACTTCTTTCGGTTCTTTGAAACGAGAATTGTCTCTTTGATGAAATTAAATCGAATAAGCTAAAAATATGAAATAATTGTGAAAATATCTTAATAGCAGCTAAACTATCGAATTGGCGTAAAAATAATTGTCACCTTCTATAATTTATCCATCGTTTATAACTTGCAACTGCTCAAAGAAGTCGAAGTAAGCTCGGATCAAAATAAGCTTTATCGATTGCAATGTATACGTCTGGTGTCTATCTTCGGTCAAAGGTAGTCGAGCTTATTTATACCGTTAGAAAGTTGCATTTGAGGGTAAGAAACTGTATACGCGATATCGAGTTGAAAGACAAAATCGTATTTTTAACTGGCTTTTTTAATACGAGCTTTGATAGAAGGTTACGCGATCTAACGAAGTTGCGATGTAATAGGACGCGCGGTTAGTCCGATTTCAACCGGTCATAATCTACGAAGAAAAGGGAAATCCTTTGTGTAGATTAAAAATGTAAAAAACGAAACGAAAAAACGGCCGTTATTTTCGTGCGAAATATCCTTTCGATTCTTACGAACAGCGTCCGATGTCGACATAACTGAAAAGGGGATCGCGCGCGTCGCGACTAATCGCCTTTCCATAAACGAGTCGAGCGAACCCAGAAATCGATAACGAAGCCGAGCATTCACGTAGCCTGGTCAATCTTGCAGGTAACTAGAGCGTCGACATGGGTAAGGAGAAGATTCATATTAACATCGTGGTGATCGGCCACGTCGATTCGGGCAAATCGACCACCACTGGTCATTTGATCTACAAATGCGGCGGTATCGACAAACGTACGATCGAGAAGTTCGAGAAGGAGGCTCAGGAGATGGGCAAAGGTTCGTTCAAGTACGCCTGGGTGTTGGACAAGCTGAAAGCTGAACGCGAGCGCGGTATCACGATCGATATCGCCCTCTGGAAATTCGAGACGGCAAAATACTACGTGACGATCATCGACGCTCCCGGCCATCGCGATTTCATCAAAAACATGATCACTGGGACGAGTCAAGCCGATTGCGCCGTGTTAATAGTCGCGGCTGGTATCGGTGAATTCGAAGCTGGTATCTCGAAGAACGGACAGACGCGCGAACACGCTCTGCTGGCGTTCACCTTGGGTGTAAAGCAACTGATCGTCGGCGTGAACAAGATGGACATGACCGATCCGCCGTACTCGGAAGCTCGTTTCGAGGAAATTAAGAAAGAGGTATCGTCGTACATCAAGAAGATCGGTTACAACACCGCTTCCGTGGCGTTCGTGCCGATTTCTGGTTGGCACGGTGACAACATGCTGGAACCATCGCCGAACACGCCGTGGTACAAGGGGTGGAAAGTGGAGCGTAAAGATGGTAACGCCGATGGAAAGACCCTGATCGAAGCCCTTGACGCTATATTGCCGCCGTCCAGACCCACCGACAAGGCTCTTCGTTTACCGCTTCAGGACGTGTACAAGATCGGTGGTATCGGTACTGTACCGGTCGGTCGTGTGGAGACCGGTATTCTGAAGCCAGGTATGGATATTTAGGATATTTAGGACTCGCCTAAATGCTTCGTCATTTTTCTTCGACGACCCTTTTCACGAGAACAATTCGTTAGTTTAATTTTCACGAGAAATGTCTAGTAATCGTCGGTAAGGTCTTCTCTTTGACTTTTACGACTAGAAACGTGTCTTGAATGAAATAGCAAGAAAACGTAATTTCGATATTCGTATCGATATTTCGTTCGAAATGGTGATCGACGATTTTGCTTTCGCAGGCATGCTGGTAACATTCGCTCCAGCAGCGTTGACCACCGAAGTGAAATCGGTGGAGATGCATCACGAGGCGTTGACGGAGGCATTGCCTGGCGACAATGTCGGTTTTAACGTAAAGAACATCTCCGTGAAAGAGTTGAGACGTGGCTACGTAGCAGGTGATTCGAAAAATCAGCCGCCGCGAGGAGCTGCCGATTTCACCGCTCAAGTAATCGTCCTGAATCATCCCGGGCAGATCAGCAACGGTTACACGCCGGTGCTCGACTGCCACACTGCTCATATCGCCTGCAAATTCGCCGAGATTAAAGAGAAATGCGACCGTCGTACCGGCAAGACTACCGAAGAGAATCCGAAAAGCATCAAAAGCGGAGACGCTGCGATCGTGATGTTGCAGCCGACTAAACCGATGTGCGTCGAAGCTTTCCAGGAATTCCCGCCGCTGGGACGTTTCGCTGTTCGCGACATGCGTCAGACTGTCGCTGTGGGCGTCATAAAGGTACGATTATTATTTCATACGGATATTTCGTGCTTCGTAGGCGATTCTTTACGACCGTTATTATTATTATCATTGGCACTATCGTCGTTAGAAGAACAACACGTCCGTTTAATTCGGTAACTCTTACGGATGTTAAGTAACTTGTAATTAGTAGCTCGTAAAATTTCATCGATAACGTCGATTCAAATGGTGCAAGGAGACTTATCAGGTAATAAAATAATTGCCTATAATGTGATCTAGCAACATCGGCCGATTCAAGCGCTTTTCTTACGCTTTTTATATTTTTACGGAGCTCTGATAGACGCGAAATGGAAAATATTTAATTTACGAAGAGAAGCTTTAATAACGTAGCTGGCGTTTCTCTTCTCCGATACGAATTAATCGCAACATTTGCAGCGATGTGTAACCGACTGTAATTGATTAAAACTTCGTTATAAAGTATCGAATATCTCGGCGTACGTTTCAATTATTTGCGGAGTTTCATTGAAACCGATATGTGCGCATACAACGTTTGATGTTCTTTGTGCAAGGTTCCTCGTCTCTTGCATTGATTAAAATCTTTGTTAAAGAGGCTCTGGAAACATAGAGAATTCGCTGGATCGAGATAAATTTAAAAAATTGGAAGAATACAGCGCATCGATGACGCCGATGGATATGTGTACACCATGCGGTATTCACCTTTGATATTTAATGGTTTTCGATGGTCGAAATGTCATGGCAACATGACAAGAGTATAATGACTTTTATTTTATTCCAGACCTCTGACATCTCTTGGCGCGTTACGCAATCTAAAGTACCGGGTATAGTAACCTGTAGGTACTTTGTCTCGAGCGAAACCTTTTTTAATCCGATGCAAGGATACTATTGAAATTTGTCGCGAGGAAAGATTACATTGACAAATATATTCACGACCAGTTTAATAACTGTTTCTACGAAATTAAGATATAATTTCCTCGGATGAAATATTTATTCGTGTACATCTTGAGAGTAATTTGATATTTCGCCAAGAGCGAGAGTATTGTAATATTATATTTTTGGAATGACGAATCTACTGTCGTAGGAAACTAAAATAAAACTATACTAAGGAAATTCCGATGGAATTGAAATTTAAGAAAAGATAGAATATTTTTCTAAAGATTGCGTAATCTTAAAGAATATTATATTAGGACGTAAGAAAGAGTGACGTGACGTTAACCCTCGTCCGATAGCGTCAAACGCTTGGTAAATAACTGATAAAATGACGCCAATTGATAAAAAATAAAGCCGTACAAATACGTTTATTCAGGCAGGAAAATTATTGAGGAATTATATCTACTTTTAGATACTATGCGTATTCGAAACTCTTCGTATTAATCTACCCTTATCTTTAACTTTTAAACGATCATTATGTTAGTTTCATGACGCTCTTACAGAATATATTGCAAAAGTTTATTTATGTAATGTACACAGCTATGTTGTTACGTAGATTACACGGGGTATATAGATTTCTGAGAAAAATAAGGAAAGATAAAGCATCACTGTCTAAAGGATATTCGATAAACGTCGTGTTACACGATTTCTAAAGAATTAATTTCAATTTTTGTACTTTGATTTTGAACGCTACCGTAGTATGCACATTAAACGCATCTATCAAACAAACAACAAGAGCTATCGATCTAAGAAAAATCTCAAAATCTTCTGTTATACGAAAATCATAGAAAAATCCAGGTCGTGGCATTGCGTAAAATACGAGTGAAGGTTGTATTCCTCTTCATTTTTTTTTTTTTTTTTTTTTCATAAATCGATCGGTCAAATAACAAAGCTATCGCTGTTTGGAGATATTTTCGAAACTAACAAACCTGTACGATAAAACGATGTCTCTTGTATCGCGTATTGTTATCCCTTCCAAGAGCATAATCGGTAAAGATTTAACGTTAAAATCTATTAATTTGCAGAGTGTCACCTTTAAAGATACCCAGGGCAAGGTCACAAAAGCCGCGGAGAAAGCCCAGAAGAAAAAGTAACCATCAAGCTTCCTCGGAAGCTCGCAGTCCGCGGGCTGGTGCCCGACGAGCGTCTCCTCCGCGAGGGGATCCTCCGATAGGATGCAGTACGCCGCGGCTGCTTCATTCAACTCATACTCGACTAATAATAATAATACAAAAAGTGAAAAGATGTTGTGCTTACCCCCGTTACATTATCCGATAGTATTGAATCCGCGCATCTATCCGAATTTGCACATTCAGTTCACCCACGCCCCGCGCACACCCCACATATGCTAGGTGGATTCTTACGTTTTTACTTCATTCTTTACATTGACGAATATGTGTCCAATTACAGGTAAAACAAAACAACTAAAAAAAAAAAAAAAACTAAAAGAACAAAAAAAAGAAAGAAAACGTCAAAAAAAAAAGCAGAACAATATTCAGTTCCCTTGAACTATGTGTAGTTAGGTTTTTCAATTAAACGTAATAACAACAACAACAACAACAACAATTACACACAACCGATGAAACAGAACGGGATGATGACGTGTGATCATCACAGCTTAATTGCGCGATACTAAACACGGGGCAGCGGCCGGTCACGACGAATCACTTAAGACCTCCGCGCCACATTATTAATTCGATAACACATTCTTTATTCACGACTTCCTGGCGTTTACGAAAGAAACACGCGTAGAACACGTAACACGCACCCATATAATACACGCATACAGATTCCCATATACCTAAACGAAAAACACTAACCTGATGCGATTCGAGTTGGACACATAAAGAGTGTACCCGCTGCTGCCTCGCCATCCCTTACTTTTTAATCTTCTTTTCGAAGGATTCGTTAAAGGCTGATTTGTTCGAAGACTTGGTTGCCTCGCTGCGAATAATTTTATTACTTGTATAAGAAATGTATTTATCTCTAGTTAGGGAACATTAGACTGTGCTCCCATCCCTTTCGCGGCTCGAAGAAAACTCGCTCCCGATCGAGGAGCTCGGTTACACCACCGGATCTTCCTCGTATTCGCCAGCGAGTTTCACTTCCGAGTTGCCTGTGTTAATCTCGGTGCCCCTAATAGACGCGTTCTTCAATTGTTTTGACCCTTAGCCAGTATTATGTTGATGTAATAAAAAAAAAAAATTTTAACCGCATTGTTTCATTCTTATTCCTTCCCGAAGCGATCTTTGCACAGACATGGGGATTTCCTCGTTAAATAAAATTCTCGACGTAAAAATTGAAAACATTACGTAGGCTTGTATATAAATTCTTCGAATGTTCGAATCCCAACAGAACGAAACATCTTTTGCTTTTAATGAAAGTTATTCGATTATAAATTATAATTAATCGACATTCTCTGATTTCATTTGTATCGCATTAAAAGCAACGTTTAAAAGATCCCCGAGTTTTCCGAAATTTTGAAGAGAATATTTTCGATTTTCAGCCGTGTTAAGATAACGATAAATACGTTTAACATATACGTACATTTATAAGAAAATCATGGAAGATGAGATAAGAGGTAAAGGGCTATGGTAAATATAATTTATTCCGCATAAATTCTTCGTTAACGTTACAACTAAACGTGGTATGTACAAATATATATTTAATGCAATGATCTTACAAGAATTTAGTGTAATGCAGGTCTTGGTCAGTCTTTAATTGCTGAGGCCCGTTTGCCAGGGCGCCGAGCAGAATCGATCGTTCTTGCGATCGAACGTGACACAGAATTATCCGCAGAAAAGAAATAAACCACTATCTTCGTACATACGGAACGATCACATAAATGGAATTTGTTAACTGAAAATATCGTAGGCACTTTTGTCGGCTAGCTTACGTTTCGAAAACAGAACTTTGTCGGCCGATCGAATATGTTGCGGGCGATCCAGGCTCCAGTGCTACGAAAGAGTTCCACGTACATATGTATTTATACGGTTGTAGCTCAGTTGCTTCGCCAACATAAACACATCGATTAATCTTTATTTAATACTAATTACGCTCCGATTGACGTAATTCGACGAGTTCGATACTGTTGCGACTTTTATTCATCGCCCGACGCACTTGTCCAGCCGAAGAACAAAGAGAAAATGAAGCACAGGGAAGGGTGAAACGGGTAAAAAGAAGATACAAGGAAACAAAGATCGACGTAACAGAAAGGGAGAGGGGAAAAAATGTGGGAGGAACGGGATTCGACTGTGACGATACCGACGAAAGGAGAAACATACCGAAGCTAAAGCAACCCCGGGCCTTCGAGCCCTGACGCTCGATCTCTACCAACGACGTCTCTCTATAATCGCTCTTTCTCTCAAATCTCGTAAATGCTAAGACAACCCACAGCCTCGGTAAATATACAAAAGAAAGAAAAAACCATCCTCGACACCTCGTTCCTTCGTAAAACGCTAAAACACGCTATACACCAGCGTTCCTCCGACGTTAACGTAAGCTAAAGAATCAGAAAGAGAATAAAATCGCCGTCACCGTGCAACGATGACCGTTTCTTTTCCAAGAACCGATCGAACACGATCTTCGAAACATCTGGACGAATCGTTCGATGATTCCACGGTAGTCGATCGTGTCTTTGAACGAGCGCGATCGATCCGCGCCGTCGCCCATTCTCCTCGTCCACCGCGAGACACGGTGTTCGGCATACCGACAACGCCAATTTTAGCATGAGCGGATTTAGGATTCGTGGATCCAAGACGTACGAAGACACGCGTATACGCGTACACGTGTATCGACGGTTGGAACGAGCGAAACAGGATATCGGGTTACATTCAGATACGATTCCTGACTTTCCTTTATGTCTGTTGCTGGTGCGTAGGACTATGGTGGTGTGACCAGGCTGGCGGACTCGAATGGTTGAAGTTTACCGATATCGTGACCGGATGAAGCACCGTGTCGGGTCCGGTGTCCGACATGAAGTTCAGATGAGGCCTTAACAGAGAAGCTTCGACGGTTAACGGAACGTAGAAGGCGCCACCGTCGTGAAGGGCAAAGATCGGAACTCCGTGAGACGCGGATGGTTTTTCCATGCTGATGGTCGGCGGCGGACTGGATTTTATCCTCTCCGCTGAGAACCTTTGCTTGATAGAGCTCTTGAACTTGTAGTTGGAAGGCTTACAGTTGGTACTCGGCGGTGTACTGTGCGAATGGCTGCTGTGATTGCTGTCGTCGCTCGCTATAGTCGGCGGTGGGATGATCGCTGGGCGCAGAGGACGTTCCGGATCACCGAAGGAACTTGCACCGGAGCTCGAGCCGTGGTCCGAATGACCGTTCGGCTGACACATCGTCGGAATGCTGGTGTGCGCGTAACTAGAGCCGTTCGCGATACCGTTCGCGGTTGGCATCTCTGGATGAGGGAAACCCAGCCTGTCACCTGCAATCGTGAATTTTGTAATCGTATAAAATTCACGCCATTAATTTCGCTTTCTTATCCGATCTCCTCTTTTCTCTTTTCTTTTCGTGCATTTGTAGCAACTTTGCGCTATACTAATTTACGCTAATCTTCGTTATTTCATTTCGTAAGAACTCACTGGTAGCTAGGATCTTCTCGCAGTGCTGCTGCAAATGATTGATCAGTTGAACACATAAAGAGTCTCTGGCAAAAAAGCCCTCCACTTCCACGAGGAAATGCACGGTTTCGCTCAGACACTCTTGGAAACCCAGCCTGTAGTGTTCTGCCGCGGTAGATGCGACAGTTGAATGCGATACACTGTCCACGCTGTCTTCGGGATGCGTGTGCACCGACGTCACGGCTGGGTGTTTCGACTCTGAAATTTGATAAAATTCTTGTAAATACGACGGATTATCGAGATAAAGCCAGACACGTCTACTATACTATCAAAAGCATAATCACAGGACACGTAATTTCATATTGGTCGATATTTTTGTGAGAGAATTGTTATCTTCTAGGAAATTAAGTAAAAGTAATAAGAAATTCGCATTAAGGAATAAAGTAAAAGTAGCGTTATTTTTTAAAATCTTGCAAAAAGGTTCAAACGTGGTTGAGTGGTTAAAAAATTACAAGCATTCTTTGGAAAGCCTGATTTAAATATCCTTTTCGATCGATCCGATTAGTACCTTGTCGAAGACCTTGAAGATGCTTCATGTGACGTATAGCCATTTCAATGATTTCGGTCTTCTCCACTCTTCCTCGGCCTTTCTTCAAGTACTCGGCCGGTATGAGCCTGCTCAAGTCGGCCAAACAATTATTCATACGATCTCTCCTGCGTTTTTCGATAATCCTATGAGACATTGGATCTTGCTGCAACAGCAGAAAAGAGATAACACGTTACTAAAACTTTCGACAGTTTGCGTATGATAACGAAGATGATAGCGAAACGATCGTTTCCACAAGATAATTAACAATATGATATATCATTGCGCTATTCCGAGAGCATGTGTATATAATCGAGCAGCATGTATGACGTTGGTAATATTGTTACGTTATCTGAAGCTTGCCAACAATTTTTCCGATTTACGATAAATAATTGCGGTATCTGATGTGTAGTAGAACGTTACGTTCGCGTTTGACGAAAGTTTACGCGATGTAAAAAGACGATGACGAGTCGGACGATGTTAGATGTCACTTTGCGCTTTCGACACAGATGCCACGATTCTCCTCCTACGTAGATGCTGTTCTTCGATAACAAACGTCGTTTCGCCGCACTCTTTAAGATACAGTAAACTGGAAAACGAATACCGAAATTTCTCGAATTTGTTGAACTTCGCGATACTTCGAGGTGGAAAAGAAGTGAAAAAGACGGTTCGCAAAATGCTCGGCGAAACGAGAAAACAAAGTGGCGCGACTTAAGAAAGAAGAAAATCGTCGATCGTGAAATAAGATGTCACCTCTTTATTCATACAGCGTCTCTTCCTCAACGGTGGTGAATGCGCTACCGCATCGACGTGGCTATTCGCGGTGTAGTATTGCATGTTCAAAATATTGTCCATACTGTGCGTCACCATCGTGTTCGGAACGCAAGAACGCGTGAAAACTAATACGCCGTAGTCCTGCTCCGTTTTCGAGTAATCGTACAATCACAGACACTCACACTCGCGAACAACTTGGCGCAATGGTGGCACGATACGAGTAGGGCCCTCTTAGCAATTTAATTAGAAGCCTGACGAAATTCTATCTTACATCCAAGAATATTGCTGTAAGTGGCACGTTCGAACGTTTCCACGAATCGCGCCTCTATATCGCCCCCTTTCAAAGACGTCACTCGATTCGAATCTCGGCGAACGTTACTTCGGTGGTATCCACTGCAGAAAGATACTTCTAATTCACGATCTATGTATACGATAATTAACGATATATTCCACAAAGAAACGACAGACAGTTGCGCATACTGTCGTAAAGGAAAGCAACGTCTCGTATAAACTGACGAAAATAGAGGGACACTGTCGATAAAACGAGACGAAACGATACGACTCGTACGATGTCACGCGAAGGCAGCGACACACTATGCGTACTTCGATATGGTACGACCACGACTGCGATCCACAGCCGGCGGCGCCTACGTTCCTTTAACGAGGAGGGAGATGCCGCTTCGACGATGACGCCGCGCCGCCGCTATCACGTGTTGTAAGCGCGATGCATAACGCCCAACACGTGAGGAAACACGTTTCACCGAGGAAGCCAGCCCCGAGAATTCTCTTCCGTGGCAATTTTCTTCGTTCGCACGCGAGTGCATTCGATGCACACGGCTCGAACCGAATTGCCGCTAACGCCAACCGCGGAGAAAAAAGCGGCGACCGAGCCGCGAGGCGAGCGCCTTCTTTCTAACCGACGAGCACGCGGATTACCGCCTTGAACCAGATACATGCACCGACCACGACTAATCACGCACGTGGCAAGATAAAATAAATTATTTTACATCGGTGCCACGGAATCGTGATCGTGGAGCCTGGCCAAATGTTTATGATCGCAGTCGCCGTAATGGTATTTTAGGAAAGCCTGTGTAGTTGGACGAAACGAAGGAAATCGCAATACGGATCTATCTATGCGTTCCTCGACGAAATCGAATTTCTCGAATGCGAATTTATAAGAGAAAAGCGTAGGAACGAGTATCGGGGAATTTGCGAGATCGATGGTTTTATCGAAATCGTTGGAACAGACCTCGCTGCGAATTATCATACGCTTAACG